CTGCGCTGCCAGGGGGGCAAGTACCTGCCCAAACCCGAGCCCAGGCAGCTGGTGCTGGCCTATGACTACTCCCGGGAGGTGAGCTCGCTGGAGGAGCTGGAGGCACTGATCACAGACCCCGACGAGATGCGTATGCAGGCGCTGCTGATCCGGGAGCGTATCCTGGGCCCTTCCCACCCGGACACTTCCTACTACATCCGTTACCGCGGCGCTGTCTACGCCGACTCCGGCAACTTCGAGCGCTGTATCAACCTCTGGAAGTATGCCCTGGACATGCAGCAAGGCAACCTAGAGCCTCTCAGCCCCATGACTGCCAGCAGTTTCCTTTCCTTTGCTGAGCTTTACTCCTACGTGCTCCAGGATCGCTCCAAAGGCACTTTAGCCACTCACCTGGGTTTCTCCGACCTCATCGGGGTGCTGAGCAAAGGGGTGAGGGAGGTGGAGAGAGCCCTTGTGCACGGCAAGGACCCCGTGGCTGACTCGGCACAGTTCACCAAGACCTTGGCCATCATCCTACACCTGGTTTTCCTGCTGGAAAAGGTGGAATGCACCCCGGAGCAGGAGCACCAGAAACGCCAGACCATCTACCGCCTGCTCAAGTGCAGCCCCCGCGCCAAGAACGGCTTCACCCTCCTCCACATGGCAGTGGACAAGGACACCACCACGGTGGGACGTTATCCAGTGGGTAAATTCCCATCTCTCCACGTGGTGAACTTGCTGCTGGAGTGTGGGGCTGACCCAGACAGCCGTGACTATGACAACAACACCCCCCTGCACGTGGCTGCCCGCAACAACTGCCCCCTGATCATGAGTGCCCTGATGGAGGCTGGAGCACACATGGATGCCACCAACGCCTTCAAGCAGACGGCGTACGAGCTGCTGGATGAGAAGCTGCTCACCAAGAGCATGATGCAGCCCTTCAACTACATCACCCTCCAGTGCCTTGCTGCTCGAGCCCTGGACAAGCACAAGATTCCCTACAAGGGATTCATCCCTGAGGAGTTGGAAGCCTTCATTGAGCTGCACTAGGGTGTGAGAGATGATGTCCCCAGCCTTTCCCCGTCTGTCCCCACCCTGCAGAGGCAGTGCAGCCTGAGGGCTGTGCTCGTGGAGGTGCTGAGGGCTGGTGCTGTGCTGAGCTTTGTCCTCGTGTGTCACCACCAAGGTGGTGTGTCAGGGCAGGGGAGGAGGTGGCTCAAGAGCTCATGGCTGTCCCTTGGTGGTGTCACCTTCAGGCTCCAGCTCTCTGTGCCCAGAGAAGGCTGCAGCCCCTGCCCTTTCCCATGCCAACATCTTATCCTGAGAAGGAAGGAAAATGGAGATTCCCTGGGACCTGCTGCGTCTCCCTTTAGTGCTGGATTAACACAGTGTTCAGCTTTGGAGCAGATACACATCCCCCACGTGCTCTGGCCCTGCCCATCCCACACACCAAACAGATAGAAAGCAAGTGAGGAATGAAGTAACTTCCAGCTAATTCCTTCCCCTCCCTCTTGCCAGGTTTGGGATAGCACAAGTCCAACAGCCAAGGGGCCTGTGCTCTGCTGAGGGAGTTCCCTGCAGGGCACAGGGCTGGGTGTGCTCAGGATGGGTTTTTGTCTCTCCCTTGGTTCTCCAAGTAGCAAATGGTGTTTAAGGCCTGAGATGTCTGTGACTGTGCATAAAGCTGGGTTGTTTTTTCTCTCCTAGAGCCAGGCCCTATCTATGCTGCAAGACTTCTCCAAGCCTGTAAGATAGAGGAAGGTCAGTTCTGATTATCCAGTTTCATCCATAGATGTTGGGGTTGATGAATGGGGAGGAAAAACCACTTTAGAAACAAAATCCTCACGTGATGTTCAGGCCCTTGGCTTGCCCATTCCACACCTGTTTGCTCCTTTCCCAATGTGGAAGCCCTTTAGCTGAAGAGGTCAGCAGGGATTGAGCTGGGAGGGTGGATGTGGCCACGTTTTGGAGCCAAAACAGCCCATTTGGAATTATTTTTGAGGATGAGCTCTTCCAAGCCCTTTAGGACAGGAGGAACCTGTAGTGTGAGGGTATTTGGGGGGTTATTAAAGCAGGTGAGTGTTTGTGGCATGTTTGCCCTAGGATGGGCTGAAGGGAGAAGCAAGAAATGAAAGCTAAAGGTGCCTCCTTGTCCCTGTGAGGTTTAGCATCGCCTCCTTGAGCTCTGTTGATTATCCCATTCTGAAAACCTCTGTGCAAGTGAGTCCTTAGCAGCTGCTTTTGATTCCTTCTTGCAACTTCCCTGAGGATGGTGCTACTGCAGAGATGGAATTGGAAATCTGATCAGGATGCTGTTTAGGCAAGCTCCTTCCTTTCATTAGGATCTGCACATGTATTGGTTATAGTCTCAGGACAGGTCTTTGCCTCTATGGTGGGAAACAAAGAGTTTCCAGCAGTTTATCCTCTTGCAGGGAGGTGACTGGGCCTGGGCA